CTAGAACCACGGAACTCGGGAATGCCTAACACCTTCTCCCGGGTTAACAGAATTCCTTATCCGGATTTCTGGTACGCAGACTGTAATATAGAGTCATTCTTTTCCTCGATTCGGGATTAAAATTGGTGACTTGGGACACCCTAAATCTCCCAAGTGGCGACTCTGAAATTAATAAACCAATCCCGTTTTGATTGTCCTTTAATTGGAAAAAACTCCCTCGCGCCCCTCGGGTGCGGAAAAAGGAGGTGTGACAGGTGCTGACTAAATATTTCTTCTGATACAAATACAAATGCATTAACACAAAGAATAGCTTTATTCCAGACCAAAAATTGTATAAACCAAGAGAACTTCAGCTCGCTGAAGTTCGCCAGTTACAGACAAAAACTTCAGCTCTAGAGCTGAAGTTCGACAGTTACAAAACAAAAACTTCAGCTCTAGAGCTGAAGCTTACAAACAAAAACTTCAGCTCTAGAGCTGAAGTTCGCCAGTTACAAATAAAAACTTCAGCTCTAGAGCTAAAGTTCGCCAGTTACAAACAAAAACTTCAGCTCTAGAGCTGAAACTTACAAATAAAAACTTCAGCTCTAGAGCTAAAGTTCGCCAATTACAGACAAAAACTTCAGCTCTAGAGTTGAAGTTCGACAGTTACAAAACAAAAACTTCAGCTCTAGAGCTTAAGCTTACAAACAAAAACTTCAACTCTAGAGCTTAAGTTCGCCAGTTACAAACAAAAACTTCAGCTCTAGAGCTGAAGTTCGACAGTTACAAAATAAAAACTTCAGCTCTAGAGCTGAACTTCAGGCTCGGCTACTAGAATGCTGAAGTTTTGCGTGATTGTCTTTGCTACTTCAGCCCCGTATGCTGAAGTTATGCGAAAAAGCGGGTACGCTTGCAATTTTTTTTGCAAAGCGGACACAAGTTAAAACGTGACACAAAAAACGGGTATAGATGCAAATGCCCCGGTTATTTGGGATAATTTTCTGAAGCTATTTCCTTTGGACATAATGAGGATTGGGCTAGTGGGCCTATTTTAGCCACATATTTGAGTTAAAATAGCACGGTATAGCCAGTTTTCGAACTGGTCATTCAAAAATAGCCACCGTTTACGAAGTCAATGAAAATAGCCACTATTTTGCTGCAACAGAGACCGGTCCCGCATAATAACGGGAGTTCGGTGCATCTGTGTACGAACTCCAACATATTATGCTGGACCAGTATACTTTGCTGACTCCTGTATAATATACGGGAGACTGGAGCACCGGTGCTCCAAATTCTAGTATATTATACTGGACATTTATACTTGCTGGAATTCCAGTATATTATGCTGGAGTTCTAGTGTACTTATGCTGGAACTCCAACATATTATGCTGGAGTTCCAGCATAGTTATCCTGGAACTTCCGTATAATATACGGGCGTATTTTCTGGGTTTTGAACAGTGTTTTCGCTCAAATTTATCTTTACATGAAAAGTGGCTAAATTTCGATTACTTTTGAAACTGAGCTATTTTTGAATAACTAGTTCACTATTTTTAAATTTCTCCCAATATTTGAATGTTAATGGATTTGATTCGGGCCCGCAACTTAGGTACTGAAGTGTTCTGACCATATCACCCTTACTAACTAGTCGTAATTTCTTAATACCATTTTGACACTTTAAGCGTCTACACGGAATACGCCGCCACCGCCGCCGTATCGGAGCTCCATCGGCCACCGCCTTTTGACAAACCCGCTATGTTCCAAACTTTGGGGTTCATATGCATGAACGTGTATATGTTCGTGTATCAAAAATGATGGCTTATAAATCCACGAAGCGTTTATTTAATAACACAGGTTCTGAAGTTTTTTCTTCGGCAATTTTTCCTTTTTGAGTGAAAAATATTTTCTGGAAAAATATTTATTATGATTTATAATGATATTAGCAAATTGGATAGTGATGAAACTTTGAGACTGAGTATTAAAGATTTATAATAATTCCATGTGTTAGTTGGAGCTAGTAATAGGAATTTAAGAGTTGAGATAATTGTAAAGAAAAATGTTTGTTGTCAGCAGCATAGTTTTGTCCTTCTAGCATAGAGTGTTAATCAATGTAGACAATCCAGCTAGTTTGAGATTGATAGCAGATATCATTGTAGAGTATCATCCATTTTGTTTAATAGAGTAGAATTGATGTAAATGATTCATATAGTGGAACGACCTTTACTAATTTGGAACCAATGGGTAGTTGATTAATTGATAAAGTATTCGCCCGTTCTTGTATGAGGGGTATTGAAGGGGAGAGCACGGTAAAGTTGTTTTAGTGTCACCTGGAGCTGGAGGTCACGGGTTCGAGCCGTGGAATGTGAAGCTTGCGTCACGGTAGGCTGCCTACATCACACTCCCTTGGGGTGTTACCCTTGAACCCTGTGTGAACAGAGATGTTACCCGGCTGCCCTTTCTTGTATGATGGGTATTCTATATATGAAACATTGATCTGAATCGGGAGTACTTGATGGGGGAAGTGGATTCATAGAAAGCAGATATGGTTTGTGTGCGTGCTAGATAAATAGACTACTGAAATTATAATGTTTTTACTTGTTAATATGGTACCTAATTTTAATTCTAATCTGGCAGATTTGAGGATTGTTATCTCAAGGAAACAGGTGTTCTGTCAGAAGTTTGTGTACAATATTCTTAGCCGGTGTCAGTCACATTGGTCCAATTCTGAGAAGGCGTCCTATAGTGGCTTCAAAGAGGGGAAGGTAAACTATCAAGTGACAGAGAAACCTGAAGAAAATAGCATAGGCCACGGTCCTCGGCAAAGTAGTTTCAACGTTGTCAATGATGATTTAAATAGTAATAAGTGGAAGTTAGAACTTGCTTGGCTCTCTAAAGCTCTTGAACCTGCTGTTCAACTATGTAGATCGGTTCTGCCAACAGGTATTTTTCGCTATGAATGCTCCAGTATTTTGGAACCTTCAGGAGTTTGATACTTGTTATCTTGTAGAAGGGTGACTCAATAAGCACATTGCTCTTGGCATGTCAAATGAGCATTAGACTGTACCTCAGTTTATTTGCGGCTGCCCATGTTTTAGTTTTGACTTTATACTCCTTAGTTTTCACTTTTAATTTGACTTCTAACCGCTAAATATAATATTCTTTAATATTATCAGACATTTTAAAGATTGGGGTGATAATTGGATTTGTACAATTGAAATAGCTGGCTTCAAATTCATGGCGTGGATCTACTAGTCACAATGTCTTGAAATTTAAATCTTATTTAAAGGTTTAGAAAACCATTTAAAAGAGTTATCCGTTCTTCAGTATATTGGTGATTTAGAGAGGGAAAGTAAAGGAAAAGGATTTTTAAGTTGTTACAATCAACTTGTTATTCCATCAAAGGACTTTAAAGGTTCAGGATTAATTGCAGACTTAGGAAATTCAAAATCAATCTCAGGTTTGGGGAGTCTATCCTTTTATATCCTACCAAAATTAGCTCTGGTTAGTGGCTACAGTTGCTGATTCTGTAAAAGGGTTTAAGTCTTTATAATCAACTTGTTATTCCACAAAAAGGAATTAAAAGGTACGGATAAATTTTGACTCCTGGGAAATTTAAAATCAATCTCAAGTTTGGGAGTCAATCCTTTTGTGTCCTACCAAAAGTTGATTCTGTATTTCCTTTGCAGGAAATGTAATCGGAGACAAACTTCCACCAACTAATAGGTCTCTTGCAGAGATATTTGCCAGCATTCAACGTAGTAAATTGGGACTCCAGGATTGGAGTCTAAGTGATCTTACCATAGGCTTATATCTCATATATCTCCAGCAGGCATCAACCAGTGCTGTTGAAGATGTTAAGGGTGAAGAAATATCATCTGAGCTGATAGTAATCACTAATTACCAGAACCTTTGTAGTAAAAGTGTTTGGTATTCTGTCTTGTTTTGCCTTTGTTAATGTCAATTTTCCTGTCTGTCATCAATTTAAAACTCTAATGAAGATGAGTCTTTGTGGTTAGGTACAAGATCTCATCTACCACCTCGAGCTGGCTAAGGGGTCTTATAAAGCCAACCCTGCTGCTATTGCTAGGAATACTATGCTTCGAGAAAGCAATGTTATCAAATTCATAAAAAGTTCCGATGTGTTGAGGCCTGGATATTACATGGGAATTGACCATCGGAAGAAACTTGTGATTCTTGTAATTCGTGGAACTCATACTGTGTATGATCTTATAACTGACATTATTTCTTCAAGTGATGAAGAAATCACATTTGAGGGTTACTCTACACACTTTGGAACTGCTGAGGCCGCTCGTTGGTTCCTTAATTACGAGCTGGACACCATAAGAAACTGCCTGAAGAAACACAAGGTGGACCTCTTATCATTTTGCAGTTTGTTTTCCTAGAAAGTTTCGGGTTTAGTTCCCATGTGTCTATAAATATAAAATATTCCCATTCAGTGAGACTTATTCATCTACAGGGATTTAGGTTAAGGCTGGTGGGTCATTCCCTTGGAGGTGCAACAGCTTCATTGCTTGCTATCATGCTCCGTCAAAGGTCATTCCAAGAGCTTGGGTTTAGCCCTGATATTGTATCAGCCATCGGATATGGTACTCCCCCATGTGTTTCTAAAGAACTTGCTGAAAATTGTTCTGAATATGTCACAACGGCAGTTATGCAGGTCAGTAACCTATAATCTGTTGGTTTTTGGATAAAGATATTTTTATAAGGGATAAGGTTCAAAATTTCCCCTTAACTAGACTAAATGGTCTAGATATGCCCTCCATAATAGTTGGGGTCAGTGATGTCCTTGCCATTATGGCTTTTAGTTTAACCTTTTTTGCAAACGGCCCTTCCTTAGAAACTAAGTAGAATTAAGCCATTGATTAATCTCATTAAAATAGGAGAAGGCCACATGTTCAACACGTGGCTAAAAAATAAAACCATCTTCCATTTTTCTAGCACTACCTTCGTCAAGTGACGCTGGAGTCAGCAGAAATCACCATCGTCATTTTCCATCTCTCCATTACCACTTTAAAAGAGCTCCAACCATTCACCTTTTTGAACCATTCTCTGCATTTTTGAGTCGGCTTTCTCCTCCCAAAAAAGCACTAAATTTAACCACCACCGCATTGGAATAAACCACACCCAGCCGCTGTCCTTCTCCATTAAAATCTACCGTGCTTCTACAACCACTAATCAGCCCACCATTAGCTACTCAGAAACTTGCAGCAACCACCTCCGACATCCAAGCCTTCATCCCTTCATCACTCCAACCAAACACTTCAATGAGTCACCACCAGTAGATGGGTCACCTCCAATTTCACATTTGGCATTTTTCAAGCTAAGCATTTCTCTATGCGGGTTAAATTAAGGGTCTGAAATTGATTCTTTATCACTAGTTTTGCTGTTCTTCTTCCAATTATCAAGAAGACAAGAGCCGAGTCATTGAATCTAGAATGAAGTACCTGAACACGCCCCCGTGACGTCCTCGCTATTTGTTGCCGTGAAGCGCGCACTGGATTGCTTCTTTGTGTTGGCATAGATTTTGACTAAGCCTCACCTGCAATGGGCAACCTCTATGCACCACGTGACGCTGCAGCTCTTCGGTTACCTTCGATGGCTAAAATTCTCTGAATACCGTATCTATTCAACAGAATTATACCGGTGGCAACATCACCAAGCCGATGCAGAGGGTAGGCATTACCATTTTCAAGCTCAGTACCGTGTCAAACTCGGCATTACCATTTTGAAGTTCTTCTATGTAATCATCTCCAATGACGACTGCCCCAAAGTCCGAATTTCAGCAGTCAATTCTGTCCAAAAAATCTGAATTCCTCTATTAGAAACCATAACTTGACTGAAAATCCAGCAAATTGTTTGCACCTTCAAGTTACCATCTTCTCTATCCCACCTTCAAGAAAACGGTCTTATATTAAAATGTAAGAAATAATTTTGGAAACATTTTCTTTTTGCGAAATTGAAGTGGAAGTATATACACATATATTACATACATACATACAAATAGGTTGTGCATATAGGCTTCAAGTTAGAGGGGAAAGGGAATAAGGATGACCGGCATGTGGGTTGGGTGAGGACGGAGGGGGTTGCCGAAAAGGGGGGAAATGGGGTAAGGGATCCGGTAAGAGGTGGGGGTGTTAAAAGGGTTGGATTAAACATGTGGCAATTGATAGTGCTAATTAGTCCGATTAGAGATAATTAGTCTCTAATTGTTTCTCATTAGTCAATAAGGGTAAATATGAGCCACTTTGTTAACGGCAAGACATTATTGACCCCAGCTATTTACTGAGGGAATATCTAGACCATTTCGTATCATTCAGGGGCACATTTGACCCTTCTCCTTTTTTCATAATAAATGTGACTATGGAGCAGAATCTGTAGAACCTATTGTTAACATTTGATTGATTCTTTTCATGTTTTACAAATGCAGGGTGATATAATTCCAAGGCTTAGTGTCACCTCTCTCACGAGACTTAGGAATGAAATTCTTCAAACTAACTGGTAAGCAAATGTATCGTTAAATGGTCCTAGGATCTTCTTAATCATTGCTTTGAAGATACATGAAGCTGCATCTTTAGGCCTCCGTTTGCATATTGCTGTGCTTCTTGCTTATCGCGCATTTTCTTTTCTATTTTTGTTCTCCTGCTTGTATAGAGATGGGTTGTCTCTTCCTTTAGCAACTGTCTGTCAATAGTTAAATCAAGGACCAACTATTTTCTTTGTACAATTCCTGACTCATACATTGACTGTTTTTTCAAGTGAATGATATAAAGACTACATCTACAACATTAGTGACAACATCAACAACACTAACCAAGTTGTCTTTTTCCTTTTGTTTTTCCCTTTAAGAAATTGCTGTGCATAAAAATTTAGATGGAATATCTATAGTTTCTTTCTACCATTCCTGATGCCTGGACTCTACTTTTTTTTTTTTTTTTGGGTAAGGTAAGCTATGATGCCTGGATTATACTAGATCTCTAGCTTGAATGAGTGAGTCAATTTTGTAGGCTGTCACTGGCAAAAGTAGTTGGTTGATAGTTACATGAAATACCCAAATGATGAAATATTTTATAGTTTCCTGCTAAGTTCTCAGTTCTTTACAACTCAAAAAGGCAACTCTATTTCGTTCAGTCTGATTTGGTTAACTGGGGCAAGGATGATGCAATGTCCGCGAAAAGTTCATGGCTATATCAGGGCTTCTCTGCCTTATTGGTGTAAAGCTTTGTATTCGTCATAGTTTAGGATCGGCACCCAAGGTGTAAAGATATGATCAGTGAAGTTGGTGACACATGCTATGATCAATATCCAAACAAGATCTTGATGGGTCCCCGCGCCGGCACAATTTCTCCCCCCTTTGCCTGGTCGAGCTATTGCTCCGACTCGATATAGATAACATAGTCCATGCCCATACTTTAGTCAGCTCTCTCTCTCTCTCTCTCTCTC